TTTATTTGTTCATGTTTATTTAAAATTTTAACTGACAGTCGATTTTACTATATTTATAGTATTTTAATTAAAAAACAAGTTATTTATATAATTGGGTAAACTCAATTACCAAAATCCAGACTAATTTCTAAATCTATACATCAAAAGTTGTGTTTTCTTGCCACGTAATCTACATATAGTTACAAAAATAGAATCATAGTAGATGAGACTGATATATCTCTGCTTCAAATTTTACCAACATGATGAATTCTTAATCACTAAACCGCCATATTTAATTGATAACAATATAGTTTTGTTTTAATACTTTTAAAAATTATTGTGTCTGTTATGGCGTGATCACTTAAGCTACCTAACCCATTTATTTATAAATCATGACTGTTTATTTGTTATATAAATAATTGATTAGTGACAGAGGAAAGTGTTGTCCCATGATACGAGCCAATGAGTTACATTTGAAGGATCAATTAGCATTTAAGTGTAGTTTTTAATTTATGTTTTGTATATGCCTTTTCCCAAGTGTTTCAAATTCATAAATCTCATAAACCATCTATAGAACTAGTAAAGGTTTTGAGAACCCGAATGACTGTCTTTTCGAGGCAGAATTATTCCACATTTCTTGATAAATTGAGGTGCGTTTGATGTAATTTCTTTTAATTAAGGTTTGATCTCTCGCTAAACTCCATTATTACGAGCTTGTTATCTTTCGACACACAATTATGACACTAAACATTTAGTATTCTGTTTATTACTTCCTTGGTGTTAAAAAAAATTGTTATGGTGGAATCAAGAAACTCAAGCAAGGTATAATCATTGTATCATTGTATAATAAAATATCTTCTCTGATAGTTCTCCAAGGTAGCAAATAGTACGCCCTAAAGAAATATTTTTCCATTTCTTAAAGCCTTTTAGATTAATATTGGTTTAGGTTTTTCAGTCAGTTGGTTTAGTTTTTTGTTATACTTAATGTAGTTTGAATCTACTTTGACATGAGAGACGATAAGTTCATGTACATATATATCTTCGCATATCTAGCTATAGTTTTGTGTAGAATATTCTGTTTTCTTCGTTTTTGAGCATTATAACTACATATTTAACCACATCCTCCATTTTTTCTTTGTTATCGAAATTGTACCAAATCTTTTTACCCATGAAAAAAGCATCTTGGTATGTATATGCAAACAAACAACTCATGTGCCTAAAAGGTTAAATGTCAACACCATATATACTGATATTACTAAAATACCCTTATCACCGACCTTAATTCTTGCTAGCCAATGAGCGTTGCTCCTCGATTGTTTGAGTCTCTTGATTGGCTCATCGCTAAAAAAACGTCTTTGGCTTATAATTAGACAACATTTAAGCCGCAAAACCCTTCTTCCATTAGTTGGAAATGGAATCATATTAGTATTATTATTTTCAAAATAAATAAATTAATTAATCAACGGTCCTCGAAACTATAACACGAATAAAATAAAATAAAGTTCCTTGAGAACAAATGAGATCTGAACATGTGCGAAATGCCTATAATCCTATTCAAAGACGACACATGTCTTTTCCTGATTTTTGTCAAGATCCATCTTAGGGACTATAGAAGGACGAGTGTTTATTGGTTGGTACAATTAAAAAGGTACTCTGGAAACAAAAAATTATAAAGTGTTTTTGATAATAACTAATCTCACTTTGTAATGAAACCTTTTTAGTTTTTTTATTTTCTTTTGAATTATAGTAAATAGTTATTGTACTATGTTGATGTGGAATACTTACCTAAAAGAATTAGGGGGGGGGGGGAAATAGTATAGTCTAATATATACATCAACATTGTTTTATATGTGTCGGTATTCAAAAGTGATTTTTTAAAAAAAAAATTTACATCAAGCATTACCCTTTTCAAAAAATGTTAATCAAAAGTCAAAATTAGCATTTGTTCATGCAAAGATCATACAAATTATTCAAAAATTTTAGAATTAAGATATTTTAGTCAATTGAAAAATAAGTTATAAACCTTTGTTTAGCAAACATAAAATATATAGTTATAACCAAGATGTACTGCAAAGTGGATAACAAATGATCGAGATTTATTTTAATGAAATGATTAGTTGAAAATAAAAATAAAAACCTAGATGTACTTCTTTTTTTTAATCCCAAAAACGTTTAAAAATATTTCAAAGAGAAACCCAATTGGTAGCTTTAACTTTTAAATGATCGAGCAAGCAAATTTTTTTAAAACAATTTACAATACTCGTAGATCTTAATATAAAATATATAATTATTTAAGTAAAAGCCCAGAAGTTTTTGTCTGGGAAATGCCCATAGACAATCACAGCTCAACAGCTTTTTAACTCACCTCTCACTCTCAGATCATTCCTGTTTCATATACA